CTTGGTGTGTCCCTTCTTGGGTCCAACTTCTTTGGGACTCTCTGAGCTTCCTGGATTTCCTGGAAGTCTATTTCCTTTGCCAGATTGCGGAAATTCTCCTTTATTATTTGTTCAAATAAGTTTTCCACTGGTGGCTGTGCCTTTCCCCTTCTGGTACCCCTATAATTCGAATGTTGGAGCATTTAAAGATGTCCTGGAGGTTCCTAAGACTCTCCTCATTTTTTGAATTCTTGCCTCTTAACTCTTTTCTGTTTGGCCATTATGTGCTTTCTTCTGGTCCACTCCATTGATTTGAGTCCCAGTTTCCTTTTCATTGCTATTGGTGTCCTGTGCAATTCCATTCATTTCAATTAGTTTCGCCTTCATATATTTGTCTAATTTGTGGCTATTATCAACCAGTTCTGTGAGGATCCTGATCACCAGTGTTTTAAACTGTGCGTCTGAGAGTTTTGCTATTTCTTCATCACTTAGATTTATAGGCTCTGGGGCTTTGAGATCTTCTTGAGCCATTTTTGATCTGTTTCGCGCGCTTTAAGTGTGGGGAGCAGCGCCTTGGACTCCCAGGTCTCTGGGTTGTGAGGCCGTATGTGGGTGTGTGGTCAGAGCGGGGAAATGGTGGCTCCCTCTGCTGTTTTGTGTCGCTGGGTGAGGAGCAGAGCCTTAGGTGGTTCACTAGGGCCGGGCCACTCAGAGTGGCTGGGTTATGATGCTGTATGTGGAGGTGGGGTCAGAGTGGGGAAATGGCTGCACCCTCTGTTGCCACTAGCCACGGGGACCCGCTGGATTCTGGTCCAATCGCCGACTCCATCACTTGTCTATCCACGCAGGGATGTGCGACCATAGTCAACACGCAGCCTTGCTCCCTCGCTGTTTCCCTGGAAGTGTGGTCGGTTGCTCGGTTGCTCACTAGGTCCAACCCTGCGCCTGGATTCTATGCGCCTGAGTCCTTCTGACTGAGGTTTCCTGTGCAACTACGCTCCACCAGCTGCTGGTTTCGCTGCTTACCGGTCAGGCTGAAGAATTTGTTGTTAACAGACTTCCGAAAAGTTCAATTTTCTGTGTTCTGGTTGTGTTTTCTGTTGCTAATATGTAGTTGTCTCTAAACTTGGTTGTGTGAGAAGGCACGGCGTCTCCACCTATGTCTCCATCTTGGCGGAAGTCTTTTTTTTTTTTTTCATTTTATTTAGTTATTTTTTGAGTACAGTATTTTGTCTATTTCTCCCATCCCAGCCTCCCCCGCCCCATGATCCCCACCTCCCTCCCATTTCCATCCCCCTTAGTTCTTCTCCCTATGTCCTTCCTATTTGTTCCTCCAAATCCCTCCCCTTTTTTCCCCTTAAATTCCCTTCCTTCTTCCATCTGGTCACTGTTATCTTGTTCTCTATTTCAGTCTTTGTTTTTTTTTCTGCTTGCTTGTTTGTTTTGTTGTTTAGCTTCCTGTTAAAGGTGAGATCATATGGTATTTGTCTTTCAGCACCTGGCCTATTTCAATCAGCATAATGCTTTCCAGTTCCATCCATGTTGTTGCAAAGGGTAGGAGCTCCTTCTTTCTCTCTGCTGCATAAAATTCCATTGTGTATATGTACCACAATTTTTGGATCCATTCATTTACTGATGGGCACCTAGGTTGCTTCCAACTCATGGCTATTGTAAATTGTGCTGCTATGAACATTGTGGTGCACAGGTTCTTTGATATTGATGTTTTAGGATTCTTAGGATATAACCCCAGCAGTGGAATTACTGGGTCAAAAGGCAGGTCGATTTTTATTTTTCTGAGAAAATTCCATACTGTTTTCCATAATGGTTGTACCAGTCTGCAATCCCACCAACAGTGAACTAAGGACCCCTTTTCCCCACAACCTCTCCAACATGTGTTGTTTGTTGCTTTGTTTATGAAAGCCATCCTGACTGGTGTAAAGTGGTATCTCATTGTGGTTTTAATTTGCATCTCTCTGATAGCTAACGATATAGACCATCTCTTCATGTGTCTCTGAATGTTCTGTATGTCCTCCTTGGAGAAGTGTCTGTTCAAGTCATTTTCCCATATTTTAATTGGGTTGGTTGTCTAATTAGAGTGGAGTCGTGTAAGATCTTTGTATATTTTGGAGATTAAACCTTTGTCTAAGGTATCATCGACAAATATGTTTTCCCATACAGTTGGTTGTCTTTTAAATTTAATACTGTTTTCTTTAGCCATGCAGAAGCTTTTAATTTTGATGATATACCATTTGTTTTTTCTTTCCTTTATATTCCTTGCTCTAGGGGACATGTCAGTAAAAATGTTGCTGCGTGGAATATCTGAGATTTTCCTGCCAATGTTCTTCTCTAGGACTTTAATGGTGTCACGGTTTATATTTAAGTCTTTTATCCACCTTGAATTTATTTTGGTATATGGTGTAAGTTGGTGCTCAAGTTTCATTTTTTTGCACATAGCTCTCCAGTTCTCCCAACACCATTTGTTGAAGAGGATATGTTTACTCCACTTTATGTTACTGCCCCCGTTGTCAAATATTAATTGACTGTAGACAGTTGGGTTGATTTCTGGGCTCTCCGTTCGGATCTATTGGTCCATGCGCCTGTTTTTATGCCCGTACCAGGGTGTTTTGATTAAAGTGGCTTTGTAATACAATTTGATATCAGGTATTGTGATCCCTTCTACTTTGTTCTTCTTTCTCAAAAGTACAGCTGCTATTCAGGGTCGTTTATGGTTCCATATAAACTTTTGAAGTGTTTGTTCTATGTCTGTGAAACATGCCATTGGTACTTTAATAGGTATTGCATTGAATGTGTATATTGCTTTGGGTAATATGGGCATTTTGATGATATTCATTCTTCCAATCCATGAACAAGGTATATGATTCCATTTGTTTGTGTCTTCCTTCATTGCTTTCTTCAGGGCCGTGTAGTTTTCTGCATACAAGTTTTTTACCACCTTAGTTAGGATTATTCCCAGATATTATATTTTTGTTTTTGCTCTATCGAATGAGATTTTTTCCTTGATTTCTGCTTCTGCTGATTCATTGTTGATATACAAAAATGCCTTTGATTTCTGGATATTGCCTTTGTAACCCGCTGTTTTGCCAAACTCATTAATTAGTTTGAGCAGTTTTTTGGTAGAGTCTATAGGATTTTCCATGTACACTATCATGTCATCTGCAAACAGTGACAGTTTTGCTTCCTCCTTTCCTATTTGGATGCCTTTTATTTCCTTTTCTTGCCTGATCATTGTGGCCAAAACTTCCAAAACTATATTGAATAGAAGTGGTGAAAGTGGACATCCTTGTCTTGTTCCTGATCTTAGTGGAAAAGCTTTTAGTTTTTCCCCATTGAGTATGATATTGGCTGTAGGTCTCTCATATATGGCCTTCATTATATTGAGGAATGCTCCTTCTATTCCCACTTTGCTGAGTGTTTTTATCATAAATGGGTGTTGTAACTTGTCAAAAGCTTTTCCCATGTCTATTGATATGATCATGTGGTTTTTGTATTTGCTTTTGTTTATGTGATGTACTACATTTACTGGTTTGGGAATATTGAACCATCCTTGCATCCCTGGGATGAATCCCACTTGGTCATGGTGTATGATCTTTTGGATATATTGTTGGTTGTGATTTGCCAATATTTTGTTGAGGATTTTGGTGTCTATGTTCATCAGCAATATTGGCCTGAAGTTTTCTTTCTTTGTTGTGTCTCTATCAGTTTTTGGATTTAGGGTGATGCTGGCTTCATAAAAAGAATTTGGGAGTTTTCCATCCTGCTGGAATTTTTGGAATAGTCTGTGGAGAATAGGGGTTAGCTCTTCCTTAAATGCTTTGTAGAATTCTCCTGTGAAACCATTTGGTTCAGGGCTTTTGTGTGATGGGAGTTTTTTGATTACTGCTTCAATTTCTTTTGTTGTTATTGGTCTATTCAGGTTTTCTACTTCTTTTTCATTGAGTTTTCGGGGATTGTATTTTTCTAGAAATGTGTCCATTTCCCTTAGGTTCTCAAATTTCTTGGCATACAGTTCTTCATAGTAATTTCTTACAATCCTTTCTATATCTGTGGTATCAGTTGTAATCTCTCCTCTTTCATTTCTGATTGTGTTTATTTGTGTCCTCTCTCTTCTTTTCTTGATGAGCCTGCTTAAAGGCTTGTCTATTTTGTTTATCTTCTCAACGAACCAACTCCTGGATTCATTGATCCTTAGAATTGTGCTTTTCATTTCTATGTCATTTAATTCTGCTCTAATCTTGGTTATTTCCTTCCTTCTTCTTGCTCTAGGCTGTGTTTGCTGTTGTTCCTCAAGTTCTTACAGGCATAGAGTAAGGTTGTTTGTTTGAAATGTTTCTATCTTCTTTAGGTAGGCCTGTATTGCTATAAACTTCCCTCTAAGGACTGCCTTGGCTGTGTCCCATACCTTTTGGGTTGTTGTGAGATCATTTTCATTTGTTTCCAGAAACGTTTTGATTTCTTCCCTAATTTCATCTTGACCCATTCATTGTTTAATAGCATACCATTCCATCTCCATGATTTTGGGTGCTTTGGTGTTTTCCTTTGGGGTTGGTTTCCAATTTCAGTCCCTTGTGGTCAGAGAATATGTTTCCTTGGTATGATTTCAATTTTCTTGAATTTTTCGAGGCTCGTTTTGTGTCCTATCATGTGGTCTATCTTTGAAAATGTTCCATGTGCATTCGAAAAGAATGTGTATTTAGCTTCTTTGGGATGAAGGGCTCTCTATATATATATCAGTTAAGTCCATTTCATCTAGGGTGTTGTTTAATGCCACAATATCTTTGTTGATATTTTGTTTGGAAGATTTGTCCATTTTTGATAGAGGGGTGTTAAAGTCCCCAACTATAATTGTGTTGCTGTCAATATCTTTCTTGAAGTTCTCTAAGATTTTCTTAATATGTTTGGGTGCCCCTATGTTTGTTGCATATATATTTACGATGTTAATGTCTTCTTGGTGGATTTTTCCCTAGAGTATAATGAAGTGACCTTCTGGGTCTCTCTCTCTCTTTTTTTAAGTGTTAAATATTCTTTATTTGATATTATACACAAACCACACTAAAATGCCTTTCAGTAAGTTAAAGGCAACAGTTTAGATACAGGATTTTTTTTTAATTGGCATAGTTAGGACCAAAAAGATAAAGTGGACACTGCCAGCTTTTCTTCAGCCACTGCCTTTTAACAGGCTAATGAACACAATTTGAAACACAAGCAAGTCTTGCTTTTCTAATAAACAGTGAAGGAATTTTCTCAGTATTTAAAATGTTTATATTAGCAGTTACATAAATCTAAATAAAAAACAATCTCCTACAGGTTTTGAGACAGCATTCACCACCTCTGTGGAAAGGTGAATATTACTAGCCAAGTCCAATCATATTTTTTAGAAGAGGGAAATAGTGATAGCAGTCACTGAACCGAAATTACCATCAAAGTTCAAAAAGCTGATCGTATTCATTTAACCACAGGCCAATATTATCTAAATCAGAACTGCCCAAAAGAAATGCTCTATCAGCCATTCATGATCTGAATTCTGGTATATGAGATCAATTAACAATGGCAGACATAAAAAAGTCATGAGACATTTGTAATAAATAAGGCAGTGGCCAACTATTACTCATTAGTAGGTTTTTTCAGATAAGCTATCAAATCTGCTCTTTCTGAACTCTTCTTAATGCCAGGGAAGATCATTTTTGTTCCAGGGATGTACTTCTTGGGATTCTCCAAATACTCCATCAGTGTAGCCTCTCCCCAGGTGATCCCTTTGTTCTTGTTGGCATCCGTGTAAGAAAATCCAGGGGCCTGAACTGTCTTTCTCCCAAACAGACCATGGAGATTTGGCTCAGTCTTGTGCTTGCCTCCCTTTTCCACAGTATGGCAGTGGGCACACTTCTGAACAAAAATCTTCTTGCCTTTCTCAACATCACCCATTTTAAAATCGCTCTTTCGTCCCGCGAAACACAGAAGATCTGACTCACAAGCCGGACGTCCCGCTCTCTAATTCTGGGTCACTCTTTATGTCCCTTTTTTTTGAAGTCTATTTTGTCCGGTATGAGAATTGCTACCTCAGCTTTTTTTTTCTTGTCTGTTTGCTTGGAAAACTTCTTTCCAGCCTTTCACTTTTAGTCTGTGATGGTCTTTTGTCCTGAGGTGGGTCTCTTGGTGGCAGCATATGTGTGGGTCATGCTTTTTTATCCATGCAGCTATTCTGTGTCTTTGATTGGAGCATTTAATCCATTTACATTTAAGGTTATTATTGATAGGTACTTATTCATTGCCATTTTTGTACCTGTGTTCCTCTCTGTCTGTCTCTTTTCCTTCTTTTACCTCAAGCAGTCCTTGTAGTATTTCTTGTAGAGCTGGTTTGGTGGAGTAGTATTCCTTTAGACTTCTTTTGTCTTGGAAGCTCTTTATTTGGCCTTCTAGCTTGATTGAGAGCCTTGCTGGGTAAAGTAGCCTTGGTTGTAGGCCTCTGTTTCTCATTACTTGGAATATTTTTTGCCATTCTTGTCTTGCTTGGAGTGTTTCCATTGAGAATTCAGTAGCTAACCTTATTGGGGCTCCCTTGTATGTTACTTCTTTTTTCTCCCTTGCTGCCTTTAAGATTCTCTCTTTGTCTTGGAATATTGCCATTTTAATGATGATGTGTCTGGAAGTGGGCCTCCTAGGGTTTCTCTTGATTGGGACTCTCTGTGATTCCTCAATTTGTGTGACTTTTTCTCTCATTAAGTTAGGGAAGTTTTCTCTCATTACTCTTTCAAATATGTTTTCTATCCCTTGTTCTTCTTCTTCTCCTTCTGGTATTCCTATTATTGGGATATTATTACGTTTCATATTGTCTTGCATTTCTCTTAATCTCTCTTCATTCTTTCTGAGGCTCTTTTCCCTTTCCTGTTCTTTCTGTGAGATGCTTTCTGCTTTGTCCTCCAATTTGCTAATTTGATCCACCGCCTCATCTATTCTACTTTTGAAACTTTCTACTGTGTTCTTCAATTCGGAAATTGTATTCTTCATTTCCTCTTGTCCCTTGCTGATATTTTCTATTTCCTTTTTCAGGTTGATATGGTTTGCAGAGAGATCATTGTAGTTCCCCTGTAGTTTCTGATAGCTCGTTGTGAGCTCTTTGAACTTTGTAATAACCAGTGCTTTGAATTCACTATCTGATAGTTGATTAGCCTCTATTTCATCTAGCATTCTTTCTAAAGTTTCTGCTTTTTCTTTCATTTGGGGATTGTTTCTTTGTCTTCCCATTGTTTGAGACTCTTCTTGTTAGTCTCAGCTTCTAAAATGGACCTGTTCTGACTCCCTGGGTTTATGGTGTGAAATTCTGTGGTATGATACCTGTGAAGTTCAGTGGTGCAGACTCCTTCAGGTATCTTGATGTTCTCCGTCTCCACCTACTCTCACGATGGTCCTTCTGCTGGTCCCCACGCTGGTTGCCTACCACTGCTGAGTGTCTCGGCTCCTGTAGCTGACTCCCTGGTGCCCAGGCCCGTCTCTATGGCACTGGCACACAGGCCTCCAGTGTTCCAGCCCCTGTAGCTGAGTCCTCTGGCACCCAGGACCATCACAGGTGTTTGGAGTGTCCGGCTCCCATACCTGACTCCCCAGCTCCAAGGCCTCTTGCTATGGCAGCGGCACAGGGGCCGCATGTGTCCCAGCTTCCATAGCTGACTCTGCTGCTGTCTGGGTTTCAGCATTGGTCACAGTCTCTGGTCTTTTAATTTCATAAATGCTGGGTAAGTGATGGTTTATTGTGCTCTTTGTCTATAGATCTGCCAGGATTTTCACCCATGAGTACAGGAGCCAGAATCCGCTCTGTCCTACTCCATCTCCATCTTCCCAGCATCCCTCAGATTACTTTCTATGATAACTAGAAACCACTTCATCTCACCTCAGTCCCTTATTTGAAATTTATACTACCTTGACTGGTGTGGCTCAGTGGATTGAGAACCGGCCTGTGAACCAAAGGGTCACCACCAGTTGGATTCGCAGTCAGGGCACATGCCTGCGTTGCAGGCCAGGTCCCCAGTGGGGGGTGTACAAAAGGCAACCACACATTGTTTCTCTTCCTTCTCCCTCTTCCTCCCTTCCTCTCTGTCTAAAAATAAATAAAACCTTTAAAAATAAAATAAAAGAGCATTTAAAAAATTTATACTAAGACCTTCATAAGATTACCTATCACAGGAAAAAATCAACTTCTACTTCAATAATGATGAGTAAAATTTACTCCTTACCTAAAATAAGTGGTACCTTCTTGCCCTGTCTACCAAAAAAACATAATTCTGGGAAAGGTGTAATGGTAGGGCAATATACAGATGATATGTTATAGAATTATACACTTGCAATCTATATAACTTTATTTACCAATGTCACCTCAATAAATTCAAGAGAAAATAGAAAAATGAATTACCACAAAATTGCTGTCATATAAAAACACAAAGACTATATAGCAAAAATATCACTTAAAATAATATTAGAAAGGCCCATTATCAGTTAATAAATATATTGTTATAAAAAAGTTTCCCACCCATTTGTGAGTCAAGAAATTACTTACTGCAAAGAAACACTCTTCCCCGTAGGATTTAGATAAAACTCAGGAATACCTCTTGTTTATCTATGACGAGACTCGATAGAGATGCTAGGAATTTCCATTCTGTGGTTCATAAATGACTAGCTGAACTGTTTTGTCCCTACTGATCAATTGGAACAAAATATTTGATAACCCAAATCTCTCCTTCCCCAGGCCCCTGAAATGTGACCTATCCTCCTCACCTTAAGCCATTATACAGCCCCTCCTCTGTGGTCCTCTATGGGAATAGGCTGACTTCATCATAAAACATTCTCTAATCTATTGTCCAATCACAATGCTCTCTCCTCTCCCTTGCCCCACATGGTTCTTTGTAGCTTGAGCCTTGTTTACTCTTCCCTGTGAAATAAAGACCCTCTTCAGAATACCAAGACACCTTGTAGATCTTGTGTTCCTAGTGTTCTCCCTACTAATAGTCCTTCTCCCCTTATTGCAATAACCTTTTCAAATGTAGTTTCTGCTTACCTAAGCCCAGATATATTTTTACTTGATAATATAGAAAACTTCCTTTACCCCAGAAATATCTTTCATTTTCCTCCCAGTCAATCCCTGCCCTGTCCTCTGAAAAAGCAAACTTTATTCTGAGTTTTTTCACCATAGATATTTCACCTGTTCTAGCACTTAAAGTAGAATAATAAAATAAGTACTTTTCTGTCTGCCTTCTTTTGCTCAACATAACACAAGCTTTCTCAATAAGCAGCACTACTGATCTTTTCAGACAAATAATTATTTGTTGTGGGGACCGTCCTGCACATATAGGAAGTTTAGTAACACCCATAGCATCTACCTACTATGTGTCAGTAGCATGCCCAACCCCCACATTGTGACAACCAAAAACATCTCCAAATAGTGTTAATATCCTTGGGTTGGGCACAGAAAAATTGTTTCAACTTGACAACAACTAATTTATCATATGAGGTTTGCCCATGATGTGTGTACCAGCAATTCTTTTCATTTTAATACTGAGCATTTCCTCTTATGGATAAACCATACACTTTTTAAAGTATGTTCTCCTTTGGTAGATATTTGGGTCATTTCCAGATTTTTAGTTATTTTGAATAAATATGCTAATATTATAATTCAAAAAGTCTTTTTGCATATGGCTTTTTCTCTTTTTTCACATGTGTAAATGCACAGAAGTAAGTCATGGTTAACTTTAAGAGAAACTGCCTGATAGACCCAGTTTCAAAGAAGTTGTACCATAATACACTACCCCTTCAATATGAATTTGTCATGCCAAGTTATGATAAATTCAGTTACACCCTTACTAACACTTGGAGTCATCAGTTGTCTTATTAATTATTTTATAACATATGCAATAAAATACTTGCATTTTCATGAAGACTAATGATGTCAAGCACATTTCTTATCCCTATTGATTATTCACACATCCTTCTGTTTGAAGTGCATTCTCAAGTCTTTCAATCCTTTGACCTTACTAAATGGATCGATTGTCTTTATATTATTCAGTTCTAGTAGTCATTTGTGTATGTCAAATATATTTTGTACATATTTTCTCACAGTCTGTAGCATATGTAATCTGTTTAGGGTGGTTTTACTGTTCAAATGCTTGATTTTTTGGCTGAAATACATCTTATACATATTTACTTGTTAGTGTTTGATGGAGGTGTTTTTTTCCCCTCCAAAGTTGTGAGGATATATTCTCCTATTTTTCTTCTAGAATCTTCATATTACCAGGTTTATGATCTGTATCAATAACTTCTTGCATATGATTTGAGGTTCATTTATTCTTTTGCAAAAGCAGTTGATCCATCAGCATTTGTTTGTTTGAGATGGATGGTTCCTTAAGCATTTTTGTCTTACTGTCCATAGAGTAAAGTACCTGGCTTTTGTCCTTAATTCTTAGAAGCTGACCTCTTCAACTTTGGAAGTTTTCAAAAGATGTAAGTGTCTTTTTATTCATATGGACTGTCTAGGACCATATCTGAAGAAAAAATTTAAAACTTGCCCAACTTTTGATTAGGATGGCACTGAATCAATAGATCAACGTGGGGACAAGAATTTGTGACTTAGTAGTGTTGAATTTTCCAATCTGTGAATTTATATTCAAGATTTTATCATTGTTGATGTTATTATAAATAATATTTTATTTTTCTGATTTTAATTAATCTATAAACATTCCTGATATTTTTAATATTGACTATGGATTTCACAACCTTGCTAAAATTACTGAATCATCTAAACAATTTCCACAGAAGAATGTTCAAGCTTAACACAAAATTTGATGCAGATTTGTTGCTCTACTTATTCAGTCATTTTGAATGTGATGGCCATGCAGTACACATGCTCACTCAGCAGCATATACCACCCCCACTAACTAGTACAGTGAAATCATCACTCAGCAGCGTGTACCACCCCCACTAACTAGTACAG